GAGTTGATTGAAGATCAGATAATTATTTTATGAAACAGTTGTCTGATGTCATCTGTTTTTTTATTTACGTAACTCAGTTTGGCTGTATGTGTCATATCTTAGATATAATATATTATGGTTATTAAAGGTTCCCTAGAAGAGCCAAGTGGTGTGACGAGTTTCTATATCGAGAGCCGGAGTTCAGTATCAATAATGCTATTTAATGTTTTGCCTAACTGCTTTGTGTACAACTTCTCATGTAAATAATAAAAACAAACTGCCATCATCAGCGCTATGTCAATTTGTTGTCATATATCCATCTTTTCAAGCATCAGTGTAATGGAAAAAGCTCGTCTATTTATATTTATCCTTTTTTAACAGCATACAGATAGAAAGGAGGCTGACACACTGTGCCACATCATTCAAATTAGGAGCATAAATTCAACTTTTTATTTTATAAAATGCATTGACTTGGTCATCTTAGATTTTATTAGGAAGTTCTCACAGGTATAACTGAAGTGGAATGCTAATTTCAGTGGTCTGTTTCTCGTTATCTGTTTGTAATTCCTTACTTTTCTGTTACGAACAAATGCCTTTCGAAAACTGGACAGACAATAGCTTTAGATCTGGAATAGTTTGGATTCTTAATATTTAAGTTAATCTAATGTCACATGTGAGGCTTGCGAATACAAGTTAAATATGATGAATATATATTCATATCTTTTATATCTGTATATCTTTTACTTCGCAAATACGTCTCCTACACGGATTCATTCTACTCTGTAGTTTGTGCGCTATATTTATTCGTCGGTCCCATATATATATATATATTTGTAACATATAATATAAAATTACATCAAGTATAGTAACTTGTTGTAATAGCTAACTTTTCTTATATCCACTTTGACTTATCATAGAGCACACGATATTGTTCACTCGGCACACTGTAAAAGGAAATTTAACGAGTTTAAAACAGAGACTTTCCAGTTACATATGTTATTAGGGTTTGAGATGACTAGAGGTTACTCAAAGTTTGTAAAATTGCTACTTATAATAGTTGCAATGATTGATCACGTACCATTGAGACCCTTTCACAGTATCTGGAACTCGAATTTCAAGCTAATTGAAAGAGCACCCTAACGTGACAAACATTCAATTCTTATATCATTGTAAAAAGTGTCGGACATCTTTGTAACAAATCTACAGCGACTTTTCTGCATATTATGTAGTCACATATGAAGGAGCACCATCTGTAAGGTGTAATGCAACGTGTTCTCCACGAAAGCGGGGACTTTCGAGCGCTTTTTAAACAACCACTGTCACAGTCTAGTTGTGAGCATGCTTCGCGGAATAGCAGCAAATATTGAATCCAAGGACAATGATCACAAGGATTACAAGTCCAGATACTTTAGGCAGCGCAGTATATACAACACCATAAACATTACCGTTGTCGGTATAAATACAGGGTAATTTCATGTATGTATATAAACTTTGTCGCTCTGCATGTACTTACTGTCTCAGAATGACCTTGGATATGTACTTATCAGGCTTACTATTAAAGTATTAATACTAAAGTGTCTTCACATGTAAATATTAGATTTAATATCATCATTATGATGGAAAAACTTTACATACAGTTTCATAAGTATTTACATGCATTTAAACATTGTAGCCTCATATAATTACATTAAGTTTGCACTGTTAAGAAGTCTTAAGTTCAATGATTCTAAAATTAATATCTGTGGTTTTATCTGATGATTGGATATACAGAGATTGAGTATATTATATTGAAATGATTTTGGAGCTTTATCACGTCCTTACAGTCCAAGTCGGCACGGTCGCTCATGCAATATCATGAAACTTGACAATAGCCCAGCTGCGTAATTTCTATTGCAAAAGAGTCCGTCATTAGGCTTTAATTTTCAAGTTACACACCTCCTCCCTGACACCTTTCCATAGTCTATCTAGTGTATGAGGACAACGGTTTTCTAGTGCTCGTTTCAACAGTCGGATCGCATATGAATCCATAGGTTCTGCAAGTTTTCGTATGGAATAGCATGATTAATCGTTGCACTCTCCAGGTGCTTGAGGTATGCAACAGTTAAACTGATATATCATTGGAGCAAATTGTGTACTCGTAACTTTTATGACTTTTCTAGACTGAGAACCTTCTTAATTACTTTGCTGACTGTTTCCTATAACAAGTGGATGGTTTTTTCCACTGACCTTTGTATTCGTGGATTCTCATTTGTTACAAAACGCCGAACCACACTTTGCTTACTGTGGCTGAGGTACGACTTGTTACAGGTCTCTTTTTGGTTGGTCCTGTGTCCCAAGTTCATCCTTTATTTTCTAATGCCATTAAGTATAAGGGTTATTCCCGTTTTGGAGATTCCAAATACCCGATCTGAACAGATCTTTCTAATGTGAGTGTAGGAATATTTTGAGTCTGAATGCTGTTACATACCTTTCCCAAAAGCGATGACTTTTCAGTGGCATCACACTACATAGGAAATGCGAAATAATGTCAAATAATGTGACTTTATATCGGCTTTGGTTGTCACATGAATTTTCAAAATCGTTTTAAGATAAGGTACTCAACCCTGTAACGTATGGGTGGGCGTTTCCAAAAAGAAATGCTCATAGATCAGAGACGATGAGCTCTAGAAAATGAAGGTTTATTACTTATCGCTAAAATTCGCCATTCCATTCAAGGAATCATTGCTATATAACAAGTTCATATGCGAGACATAAATAAAGCTTTAGGTCCAAGTTGTAAAATGAATTAGTCTTGTAAGTTCTATATTCTGCTTAATACGTTTCACTATCTGTCTACTAATACAGTTGATCCTCAGCATCGTTTGAAGAAACAAATTATCTAGGCCACGATAAAATTATTTTTTCTACATTTTATTTAATTATTTTCTACATTTTTCAACTAATTAGTTGATGCGTAGCATTGCTTGAGTGAAATATGATCTCAGTCATGAAGTTGTAACTTCTTCTTTCTTGGTTTGGTTGCATATTTTCTATTTATTATAATAAGCTGATGTTTGTAATAAGTAAATATCTCCAGGGAAAGCATTTCATCTGACAGAGTAACACGAAGCCGTCGGCTTCAAACTGCTGGTTGGTTCTAAAAAGAATGTTCCTGCCCAACATTTAGGTGGGCGGTTACAACTGGTCTAGTCATCTTTTAAGCGTCTCGTGAGGTGATCTCACAAAACAGGCTTTGGCACAAGAGCACGCGTATCTCGAGGCGTAGTGAGAAAGTTACATTTCGAGTCCTCAGCAAGCTTGCCCGCGAAACTTCAGACACTGCTCACCTCCTGGGCTGTGAATAACCAGTCTGACTGGCGAACATACAACTCTGTGGTAAAGTAATGTTTCATTTTTAATAGGCGACTGTTATAAGTACCTGTATAGTGTATATTATTTATTTGTTTTGCACAATTTTTACAAAATGTCATTCCATTTGCTTTGTTGCTCATTCAATTTTGGAGTCACTCGCACTTTTTTGCTTTCATATGAAATTCCGTATAAATACAAAAGGCAAGACTTTGTAATTAACTTTATAAACAATAGTTTGGATAGAACTGGAAGCTATAAAACTGTTTCCTTCTGTCTCATTTCGTATACTTTAACTAAATTGTAACTTTCCGTTTTTCTACAACTATTGTTTTCATATTATTTAGTGATACATAATTCACAGCTTTACGCCCTTTTCCACAGTTAAACATCGTATTCTGAATCAACATAGTCCCTAATTTCAACTGGCATATATTACTTGTGTAGGAAATCGTTTAACTATTCGTATATTAATCAAAAAACGTTCTGAGACATTTGACTAATTGTTTAATAAGTTTTTATATAATTTCGCAATATTAATTTTACATTTACTTAAACTTTGTGCTATTAGTTCATGCAATTATCAGTTCAGTTTATTGTAAAGGTTTAAGAATGTTTGATTTTTAATTTAACGATGCACTAAAATAGTCATTATATATTGTTAATTCTTATAGACGTTTCACACTGTAAATTGCTATGCGTTTTTAGGCTTTTTATATTTTTAATATGTAGCTTTAAAAAAATTCAAAGCTGTTGATTTATAGTTTAAATACTTTGCATTGTTAATTCATACCTTCCTTTAAAGTTTTCGTAGTTGACTCAGGATTTCACTAGAATTTGAAATTTGATAAACTATAATTTCCAGAAAACTTTTACGTTCTTAATATGTAGGTTTGCAAGGAATGTTGTTGTATAATTCTCATAGTTGCTAACGCTTTTTAATTTCCTAATTTTTCTGGATTTTTTTTTTCATTGTTAATACATAACTGTTACTTCTACATTGTTAATTTAATTCTTATATATGTATTATATTTTAGAATAACTCGTAAGACACCCTAAAATGTTACAATCATTTTTAGATGTCTGACAATGGAAATATATATATTTCTGTAAGATGATCAACATTGCAAATATATATCTTTTGAAAATCTATATTGAGATTTTCAGTTTTCTAAGATGTTTGTTGTTGATTTGTTTTTTCTAAATATTTGTTAGTCATTTATAAATATTCTAAGACGTTCTACATTGTTATTTCATTATAAAACTTTCTGCAATGTTAATTTTATAGCCTCTAAGATGTTTCTTGTAGTCTTATCAGGCGTTGTTAATTAAGCAAGTTTAGTTGTTGGTTTTTTTCACATCAGTTCGTAAAGATGAGTCATGAGGTTCTCTATCATTGTTTTCGTCTTTCTTCGATGATCATATTTGTTATCTTAACATCCTTCAACATGAACCATATCCTGTTTATTGTGTGAAGTCGTCTACTTTCAGGTCTTGTTAGCAAGTCGAAACTAGGTTTATAATATTTACTCTATGTATGTAACTTTTCTTACAAAGTTGTTCACACAAGCAATCGAATATTTAGGAATGAGGAGTTCAGTTAAAAGGATGTTTTTGCTTCATTTTCTTTTTGTTTTTAGTTATTCAATATCGTCTGACGGTTCCTATTTTAGGGATTTTTTAGCTCGTCTCCTCAAAACCTCTGTTACCTGATTAGAAGCATCAGCGGTGAATTACTATACATTTTCTACAAACGAGTGGATTTTAACAAGTTCTGCAGAACAAGATTTGCCTGTCGGATTTTTCTGACAAAGAAAAGGCCACTCGACAACAGTGCTACGAAAAATCTCGACTGGCCTTATGCTATCAGCAACTGTAGTTGAGAAATAACTAACTAAAAACTGGTCACGTAAGACACAACATAGCCTGAAAGTATCATCTGAGGTTCGTTTAAACTTTTGCCAACACTACTGGTGCCATGCGTCTAGTTCAGAGTATTTTACAAGGGACTTCTGCAGCCACAAGTTTAGGTTTACGCCTCACGTACTCATTATTATTTTTAATTGCACTGAAGGGGACGTTGCAAGAACTGAGACTGAACAGCAATCCCTACCTGGCAGAAGTTTACTGTCAAGAAATTTTTGAGGTAGGTCTTCAAAAACTAAAAATATATAAAAGTAGATTTTACTTGGGTTTGTTTGCTTATTTATAAACAATACAGTAGACGGCTAAGTTTATTAAATGTATAATAATAAATTAGAGTATTTTTTTCCAGTAAATATTTGTTTGTTTGTTGAATTTTGTGCGAAGGTAGCAGTAAGTATGATATTTGATCAAGTTCGACAAATTCTATGACAAAAGACTTATTTTAACGTCATCATCTTTTATCATCTGTGCTGTAATTGATTCAGTAGTTATACACTGAAAAGGAAGTTAAACAGCGCACGCTTGCAAAGTAAGTTTAAATATTTAATTGAATAATAGCAGACAGTTATTTAAAGGGTGACTAATTACTCTTTATGTTTTCAGCTACTGGTTATTAATAACCACAGTTATTTTACCTTTACAATAACAACTTTATTTCTTCGTAAAAAGCAAGGGATATTAATCTTCTTAACTTTAGCACATAAAATTAATATTCATCATAATATTACATTTTGAAAAAAAAAAACAGTTCTTCCTATAATAGAGAGTAATATATTAACATTCTGATCATTAATAGTCGTTACATTCTATATGTTTATTGTATGATGGTTAACACCAATCATATACTAAATGTTAATAATATAATGTTTAACGCCAATAATATTATTTACTATATGTTAATAGTATAATGTTAACGGCAGACATATACTACTTATTAATAATATAACGGTTAACGCCAGTCATATACTATATGTTCATAATATAACGGTAAATGCCAGTAATATATACTATATGTTGATAATATAACGGTAAACGCTAGTCATATACTATATGTTAATAGTATGATGGTTAACACCAGTCATATACTATATGTTAATAGTATGATGGTTAACACCAGTCATATATTATATGTTACTAGTATGATGGTTAACACCAAACGTATACTACTGATTAATAATATGGTGATTAACGCCAGTTGACTTTCTACTTCTCTAATTGTTACAATGATTAATTTCGATAACTCACTACCTATTGTTATTTTAATTAACACTGGTTACCTATAACTTCAGGTTCGATCCAGTGTCAGCGGAGATAGCCCATTATTTAGCTTTACGCTTGAAACAAACAAACACTTTATGTAATAAAGATGGTGATTGACATTTGTTATTTTACTTTAGATTCTCCTATTTTTCTACTTGTTAAATTATCATAATTAACGCCGGCTACTTACACTATCAGAATCGCGTTCTTTTCTAATTTCTACCACAATCACTGAATGTCTACTACTTCAAGAATATTTTTTCACTACAAGTAATATGACGATTAACTCCAGATGCTAACAATTCAAATAGACCTAGTTCGCAATACACATTTAAAATAAGATCATGATTAATGCTGATTTTTGTACTAGTTCAAGTAAACATTCTTACATGTCAATGAGATGATGATTAACTCCGGTTATTACTAGCTCAAACATACTCACTTCTCTAGACACGCTAACGAGATGATGGTTAACCCCGGTTATTACTAGCTCAAACAGACTCACTTCTCTAGACACATTAATGAGATGATGATTAACTCCGGTTACTACTAGCTCAAACAGACTCACTTCTCTAGATACGTTAATGAAATAATGATTAACTCTAGTTACTACTAGCTCAAATAGACTCACTTATCTAGACACGTTAATGAGATGATGATTAGCTCCGATTACTACTAGCTGAAATATATTCATTTCTCTAGACACGCTAATGAGATGATGCCTAACCCCAGTACTACTAGCTCAAACAGACTCACTTCTTCAGACAAGTTAATGATATGATGATTCGCTGATTACTACCAGTTGAAATAGACCTACTTTTATATAAATGTGAATATCATGATGTACATCAGAAATCAGGTTTCATACTTACGATGAACTTTCTACTTCAAATATTGATATTAGGATGATTAATCGCAGTGCTTACTACTTGTGTTATGCCTATTTTTTCTAACTGTTAAAAGATGATGCTTAGTGCCAATTATTTTACTACTTGTTGACCTACTTTTCTCAGCGATAATAAAATAATAGATGATGTTATCACATCACTGAAGACACACTAAATAGTTCACACTTTTAGTAGACATGATTTACATGATAGCAATGTTCTAAAAATTGTAAATGTTAGTTAAATACGAAATGAAGAATGTTTTTCAAGATTATGCTGAGTAAAACCTCATTTCCTCTCATTATATTCTAATGCTGCTATCGTGTGTTTTCCGTAATAAACCTATATAAAGAAGTTTTTGTACAGCAATAACTTATATGATAATTGATTTAAAAGTCAAATATGTAGGACATATGCATGTACGTCCGTATGTAACCATGCCTTTTTCAGAAATTATCTAATTATTTTACGATTAACACAAGTAAACATTCAATAAAACTCACCAAGAGTTGCTAATCAATTTTTTACCGCCTTAATTTTTTCACTTAAAAATTAATGAAACGTTCTAAGATGGTAATAACCGTGGAAGTTTAAAGACTTCATCTATGCACAACAGTACATACTCACAGTTGTACAAGCACAACATACGTATACAACCTACACATACATACACGCAACGACAAGAGCAAAAACTTATAGTCACCAAAATTACAGTCTTCTGTTTGGTACTCACGCTCTAACATGGCTTTCAGCTGTAAACTCAGTATAACTGAGTTGGAATAAAGTCAAGAACAGGTTAGGTTTAAAAACTGAAGTTTCTGATGTGTTGTTGCATTCCTTGAAATTATGTGCTCGAAATACTTAAAACTGAAGCTTCTTCGTCTATCTAAACTAACTCACACACAATACTAATCCCAGCTTTTGTTAATTAATACAGAATGTTGTATTACTCGGGGACTTTTGCTGTACTTGGACTGTGTTCAAACGAGGGTGGTTGACTCGGGAGATTCCTTCACTACTACATCCTTATGCTGTTGGTTGTATGGAGTGAAAAATGATCACATGGTTGGTATATGACCCCGTCGTGGTTAACATTTTGAGTCACGACGTGTTTACAGTTACGGTACAACGTCTAGGAGCATAACATATCATATTAAGGCAAGACCTGTACTTCTAAGCTAGAACCTGAACAGTTACATGCTGTTTCATAGCTCCTGATTACAGTTCATGGCACTGAATATAATATTGAACATGTAGATGGTCTAAAGATAGTTTGTTTATAGTTGTTACATACGGCTGGCTGTCTGCCCACTAGTTAATACCAGCCAAGATTTTTAAGGAGATGCATTCTTTGTTGTTATTAATACTTACGGGTTATGATAAAAAAATTCAAAAATACACCACATCTTTTACCAAAAAAGATATCCTTAACCCTACACTTTGTATAATTTTATTCGTATAACAATTGAGAGAGTTAAAACAGCGTTAAATATTTTACTTTTTTATGCTGAAATGTTTGCACAAAACTTTTAATTTCTTGTAGAAAATCATAAAACAAGCACTCATAAAAGTAAGTCAAAAAATAAAAACGAAGAAGAAAAAATATGATTGAAACCCAGCTCACTTTACAATAACCAGAAGTTTGTTTGTGTTTAGCGCAAAACTTTACAATGGGCTATATGCGTTCTGGCTACCCTGGGAAATCGAACCTCGGATTTCATCATTTTAAATCTGTAAACCAGGGAAGGGGAAGAAATATAAGCAAGAATACAAGTGCGGTGAAAAAAAATGTGTTCAGGTTTTTTATGTAATTTGGTTAATTATGCGTAGTAATTAATCTCGGAATCTTTGATATGTGTCTAATGTAAGGCTTAACTGTTTAAAAGGTTTCTTTCGCAAGTTCTAACTATTGAACAATAAATGTGATTTTAAAGCTATCGTTAATCTGAATAGTGATTTGGGATTGGTAATAACGTTAAACAGGTTTTTGATAGAAATAATTTAGAATATGTGTCCCTTCCACATATAAATAGTTTTAGCGCTAAAGTTTGCTACATTCATGTGACTGTGCAGTGTTTTAGTAGGATATACTTCCTACATCTATGTGAAAATGCTGTATTTTTTATAGGATATAGTTGTTACATGCATGTGACAATGTTATGTTTTAGTAAAATATACACGTTCTAAAATTACATTTCCGAACACGTACAAAACCCGTAAAATCAAAAAGTGGAGATAAGCCTTCATTATTCGGTCGATAATTTTGGAATTTACAGCCATATAGCTGTGATATTACAGTTTGTAGTTGATTAGAATATCGTAGTGTAGAAAAAGAATAAATTGAAGTTTATCTTTGTTAAAGTTTAGCTCATTTAGATATTATGTAATTGGATTATCAATATTTAAATCGTGATTTAGAGAAATAGTAATATATAATCACTGTCGATTATAGCATTGTTAATAAACCAAATTTAGTTAGAATATCTATTTCTGTCAAATCTCATTTAATTCGTAAATATCGAAATTAAATTCTATTGTATTTGAAAAATTACTTATCAAGTTTTTAATAATATTATAAGTAATGTTATCTTAATTAGAATACAATTTTATTTAAGGAATACAATAAAAACAAAGGATGGAGAAGCATTTCATTCTTCACTATTAACAACTCTGATATATTTGGCAAGGTTGTTTAGGACATATTTTAAATAAAACTATCCTTATTTTCTAGTTTAACAATATATGAGATAAGAGAGTTGATTATTTATAAATATTGAGGATTCAGTGATGACGTTGTAAAGTGTTTCACAAAAAGAGTAATATTTCACATCTTCAGATTTCCTCATCAGCTGAGTGATATATTCTCCTACAGGGATACTTTACTGAGATTGGAAGGCGTTCTTTAATTCCCTTTATATGTACTAAGGGACGTATTAGAGATATCTCTATAGGTGCTAAAACTGGGAGTCTCTTATGAAACTGAGCAAGTCACCCGATTTTTCTTAAATAAATAAGTATTTCTTCTCAGCTCTCCAGTAAATTCCGATTATGAAACATACGAAACGAAAACAAA